AGCCGGGTGGGGATGCAATTTAATGAGCCTGGTTGAAATAAGCTAATCATAAGGACAAAAACAATAACCCTGTCAAACACAATTACCTCTTTTATATGGATGCAGTATTCATTTAAGAATAGTAGTAAAAAAAAAAGATGCACTTAGGTTTATTTTCTTCCATCCTAGCTATTGACCTGTATATAATTGAATGAGCAGATAATGATGGCAGTCTGAAAGAAACATGGGGATGTCAATTATAAGTCCTTTACCTCCACTTCAACAGTTGGTGTGCATGCTGTAGTCACTGTGTGTGCATGTGCCATTTTGTGCATATCATTGCAGGTGTCTATAGTATGTGTGTGTTGTGTGTGTATGTGTTTATTTTTGTCATGTGGGTATAGCTCCTTGATGCGTTGATCAATGTTTCTCTGAGGCCTGGTTCAATAAACCATTAGATTTACCCCTAAAGACATCCTGCAACAGAACTTCATTAGACACACACACATACAAAAAAACACGAGGAAAATATCACACAAACCCTCTACACACACTAATTGTCTTGTGCTTACAGGCTGCAGCCATCAGGATTTAATAAGATCATGTGTTATTTTGTTTGCCTGTGCCTTTTATTACAGCAGTACACAATTTGCTGTCGTCTGATCGGAGCTGAAAGGGCTGACTGTCTTTCTGGACATTAAAACAAATCAGCTCCATTGAACTTGACCAGAGAAAATGGTACAAGGCCACCTGTTCACCTATAATGCAAAAACAGACAGGTTTTATTACACTGACCTACTGTAGATGGCCATACTAAAGAAATGGTTTATGACTTTGTGCAATAACATTACTGGGAAACACAGCTGGTTGTATCGTCTACAGTATGTTTAAGCAGTGTGTGTATGTATGTACTTATGTGTGTATGTTGAACAGTGTATGTTATACAGACTGATGATCATATCCACAGTATCACAAAGCAGATTACATCTCTAGAGATTTTCATTTAAGTAAACCGTACATTGTGTATCTTCAGAAACGTCTGTATACCATTCAACTCTGATGTAACATAATTCCAATATCAAGGGGCTGCACTATTTTATGTCAGGTCCTGATTTTCTTTTCGCTCTCTCTAACTGGCCCTTCTCTTCTCTGTCTCCCGCACACATCTCTTCCTCACGCCTCTTCTCTTATCTCTTCTCACAGCCTCCCCTCTCCTCTGTATTAATTAAAACTATGTGTGTGTGTGTGTGTGTGTGTGTGTGTGTGTGTGTGTGTGTGTGTGTGTGTGTGTGTGCGCACATGCTCAGTAGTACACTGTGTTTATGCTTTGTCCTCCAGTCTCGATGGCTGGCAGCTCCACACATAGGTGGAAACACTCTCTTCCAACAGCTTCATTTCATACGTAGGGACTTTTGTTTTGCAGTAATAGCTGTCACATTGTCCGATCACATATAATAATTAGTAAGATGATGAAACATCCCTTTTATTTTCTTATCTAAATTATCCGCTGTAAACTTGCCTTTGGTTTTTTTCACATTGTCTTTTAGGATTTCCTGCTTTTTCCTAATTGCATAACTGTTCCACTGAGAATTCCCTCTGTTCAAATATGTTCCATGTTGTGGTTTTCCCACCTGGGATTTAACATAAAAAAGCTCTGATTCAAATATGAATTATAAATAAAGATCAAGTATCTGTCAATTTAGTTGATATGCGTAATTATGAATAATACATTTTACCCAGGTGTGATAAACAAGAATTATCCTTTGCTTACAAGTTGTTGAAACATTCGTCCTTCTGTGAAAAAATGTGTCTGATTGATGCATTTAAATTCTTGAAACAAGCTGTTCTTTTTTCCCTGAGTGATACCTTGTTAGTTAGAGATGCGTCCTACTGAGTGTGTTTGTGATTATGATAGCTGGAACCCCGTGGATATAGCCGCAGGTCTTCCTCTGTGCTTCCATCCATCAGTCATGGTGTGTGTCTCAGATCCAGTGTGTCTCTTCTCCCCCTGCAGAGCAGCAAGAACTGGCGGGCCGCGGTGGATCTGACGGGCCGGCTGCTGACAGCTCATGGTCAGGGGTACGGGAAGGCCGGCCAGCAGAGCTCCCACACCACCGACTCACTGCAGGTAAGACGCCAGCCGCTGTTTCCTCATCAATCCCTCCATTCAGCTGTCCGTCTCTCATAGCGTTGGTGGGTGGAAGACAGTGACGCCAAGGCACATCCTGTTCTACTTATTAATGTAATAACTCCCCAAAAGCACTTGAAATGAAGTAGAATTTGCAATAATAATAAAGCTTTATTTATATTGCACTTTTCATACAACACATGCAGCTCAAAGTGCTTTGAGGGGTTGCTAATAAACAGCTCATTTAAAAAGATGTGTCTTTAGCTGGTGTTTAAAAATGAAATGTTCTCACTGATAAAGTATTTCACTAATGATTTAATGCCCTCTTATCTTGTTATGAGAATTCATTCTTTTGTTTTGTTTCCGAACTGATGATATCAATTAGATGTAAGGGGGGCTATGATGAATTTAGTTTTTGTGTCGCTAGTTTTTTTGTGTTGTCCCTTTTCGTCAGTGTGTTGCTGTTGGCACATTTTTGAAAGCCCTTGTTCTTGGAGCTCTATGCAGAAGATGGATGGCTGCATGCGCTCATTAAGAAGGCCACCGCTGTGGAAGGCTCTGTGCACGAGACTTTCAGTTAATCGACCGTGTTGTTGCCTCGTGCTGCATATTACTGCTTGTTTGCGTTCTTAAACATCCTGGCCCCATTTTTAAACTCTGGGTTTTAAATGTGTGGTCCATCTTTTTTTTGTAATGCATTTTATTATTGTTATTAATAGCAATATGCAAAAATTAAGACTATTGGGCATTGGTGTTAACCTTCTACCACCCACTGTTCTTCCCACAGGACATTTACACTGTGCTGAACGTTCACAGACTGCACGATACAAAGTTACATAAACATGGACAAAGTTACTTTAGACACTTGTATACAGATGCGTGGTAGAGGATACAACCGAAACCAGAAACATTTTTTTATATCTACCTTCAAAGCCATTACAATAAACAGACGAATCATTGAAATGTAATCTTTAAATCCATCTCAAAGGTTTAAAATGATCAAATCATTTTCATTAAGGTGTACAAACCCTATAAAGGGAGTGGATGTTTGAGAGTCAAAGTATCATCCTTCTGAACCCATGTTGAATTATTATTTTTTAAAGCGTGACTGCAGATCGCACTATTTAACATACATATTATGCTCATTGTTACGATTACTTTTGTATGTTATGCTTCTACTGTGACATGTTTACATTCTTTAAAGGTCACCTATAATGTAAAATCCCCTTTTTCATGTCTTTTGTACATAAATCTGTTTTAAGAGATTCGGAAACCCTTTAGCATTTAAAGCTTCAGACACAGAATCAGCACTTTTGAAACAGGGTTGAAACAGAGGGGTTAACCGCATGCTACAATGCATGATTTAATGTTCACAAAGTGCATTATTGTACTATATATTTTACTCTGATTGGTTAGCTGGCTGGCTCAGGTCAACCTGGATATGTTTCGAAAAATGTCCGGCCCCTTGCCCAAGCCTGAGTGTTAAATAGTGATGTCACTATGTGCGGAAGTAAACAAATTACATTACATTGCATTTAGCTGACGCTTTTATCCAAAGCAACTTACAATAAGTGCGTTCGACGAACAAAATACAAACTTGAAGAAAACAGAATCATTTAAGTACATCAGGTTTCATAGAGCTAAAACATTTCAAGTGCTACTCAACTGGCTTTAGATAAGCCAGTCCTTTATTAGTATATAAGTGCTTTGTTAATAATTCTATCGCTCGAAGTGGAGTCGAGTTTTCAGTCTGTTAACACTAGAACCGCCAACAGTGTCAGCACCTACATAGATATCATTTTCAAATCATTTAATTTGTTCCTCTTCATAATTTCCTTATAAACTAAGCAGGACGATTTAAAACTCAGTTAATTGGGTTAATTTAGAAATTGCTTCAGTTTATCATAACAGATCAAAAAGTTCAGATTCATTTTACAATATCAAGGAGTGATGCACTTCTACAAACAAAAACAACATCATTAAAACATTTAAACATTAAAGCAAACTACTAAAAGTAGATGAACTACATTATTCAATTACATTACAGTAACTTCTGATAATAACACAGGGTAAATAAACGAGGCATCTCTTTTCCTCTCCTCTCCCTCTCCTGAGAGGCAGTCATTATCAGGGTTAGTCAAAATGAATCCCTTGGCGGTTCTAGTGTTAATTTACCGTTTTGCCTTCTCTTTGCAATGCTTAATCGATTTGAAACCAAGTCTAACGTAGCTTAAACTTAACGTTAGCATTCTAGCTAACACAACACATGCACGTACCTTTCTCTGTGGTTTTTTTGTAGTGACGAATGAAGTTGGATGTTGTGGTGGTCGTGTCACTGATCTTTATGCTGCAGACCCTGCATACCGCTGTTCTCTTCTTATTACCGTCATCGACAAAATAGTCCTTGAATCCAAATTTCACTATTTTTGGAGTAAAGCTAGCCGCTGCCATGTTAACTGACACTCCTGCCGTCTAGTGGGTTGCCAGGTTTACGCGCATGGCGCTATGATCACCCAATCACGTTTTTCGAAAAAACTAAACGTAATATCTCAATACAAAAACAAACGCAAATATTTAATTTTAAACAGTCAAGTCCTTTCAAGTCATCTATCTCAAGCTTAAGTCAAGTCTTGAATTCCAAGTCAAGTCTTTTATCAATGTTAGTCAAGCAAGTCTCAAGTCAAAAAATATGCGAGTCAAGTCATGTGACTCGAGTCCCCACCTCTGGGTCCTCGAGTGTGGCATGGATCTGTGCACATTTAAGTGTCAAATCACTGAGATTAAATTGGCTATCTTTGTCTCAAAGCTTCACCAAATAAGATGTTGCTGTATTACTTCAATAATCACATCATTTTTACGCTAAAAAAATAAAAACAGACCAAGGATAGAACAGTATCTTGAAAATGTTTATGTGAGCAACAAAGCAGTTGGCAAACAAGCATTTATTTCATATCTCTTCAAAACTGTTGTTGATGAAACAACCAACAGAAGAGTCATTTATTTCTTTTCCCTTTCTTCTCACAACACATTTCATTCAAGGCCTAGAGAAAGGTGGTTTATGATATTTTAAAAACCTTGACATAAAGCAAAAGCTCTCCTCAGGGTCTAACACATCTCAGTCAGCTGTAAATCATGTAAAACACATGTGGGAGAAAGCTTCAGTCAGCCGTAAACAGCGTTGGGTTTGTTCTTAATAATCTCAAGAGAGATGATTCCTAAGTACAGTACTAAGGCAAAGGAGTGTGGTGTTATCAGTTATATATTCTGTACAGTGTAAATCTGTACCTACAATGAAACACTGAATGAGATGGGAGTATCACAAATACAAAGACAGAACCTTGACATTCTTGGTACATGTAAATAAATTAATGAAGGAAGTATAGCTGGTGAAATTGGCATGTGTGACTGTTAGACAGTACTCCTCAGGAAGAGACTGTCTGATTACAGGCATGTGACAGCAGAACACTTTCTTTTATCCAACTCATTTTGCATGTTTTTCAAGTAAGGATTTGCTAAACAAAAGACCAACGTGAAAGATTAAAAAAAGACGAGAGAAATTGTAAGTACTTAACATTTTACCAACGAACTATCTTCTTTGTGAAACAGACAAACATATGGATCTCTTACTGTTAGGTGTTGCCGTTTTTAACTTCAGTAAACTCTATGAATAATAACAGGAATATAAACTAATTCAGAACAAGGCCATCAAAAATACAGCTATCAAACCTCTTCAGTACAGTATCTTAGAAAATATGGCATGGTAATACAATGCAGTAAAATACACTTTTTATATATTTTTTGTGCCAATAGGAAGAGAGCCGTAGAAGTGCGACCAAATATCAATTCATTTCTGAGCTGGTGTTAAGCAAAGTCACATGCATTGTTAAGAAGGCACAAATAATTTAGTTTGTATCAGGAAAATGTTGACAACCATGACACCTTTAGACAAGTAAAATAATACTAACACTGTTGTATCATAAAATAGATACTAGCAACAGCAGCGCCAACTGTTTCTTTTTCTCTAAGCGCACATTGTAACAGAAAATGACATGTATGTTCCTGTCAAAATACACACACACGGCTGCATGTGATTTAGTGTTACTGCACATACTGAGACTTTAAATGTGTCGGGAACCACCATGATGCAAAGTATCTGTGCTGGGCTGGGCTTTCCCAAAAACGTCTCCCATCAGAAGGTCTCTATCTGTCCGACTGACATTAGCAAAGGCAATGAACACCACTGTAAACCTACTCCTCATTAACTAATACTCCAGGTTTATTCAGAGGCACCATGTGTTGGCCTAAGCACCCTGTGAATTCAGAGGGGAGGAAATGTGCTGACAGCAGCAGTTCATGCTTGTGGGAAACCAGACCGTTGGAGGGGGGGGGTCTTAGCAGGTCTCCTTGGCTGGGCTTGGCATCTTGCACATCATCAAGATCTGTTTCAAGGCTTTCTGGACATCCTCGTCCATCTGACCCTGAAGACACACAGCAGCGGTTCAGTTAACAAACCAAAATAGATTAGATTACAGTTACCCAATTACAAAATGATATCTAAAGCCATTACCGACTGTTGAATACTGCAAAGTTGTTTTGCATGTTCATCCATACAAATGTACTAATAATATTTATTTTTAAGCCTACTATTTGTGACATTAGATTCCAGTAGTGGTTTGCTTGGTGCTGATTGGTCAAGCAAGCTCACCCAGCTATTATTTATATATAAAAAATGTTTAGCACATTGAGATGAAAACGTAGCTTTAAGCAAACTAACAGAAGGATTTACCTGGACAGCATAGAGGAGGTGCATCCTGTAGACGGACACTATCTCCTGGTGCTGCTTCTTTGACTCCTACAAAGATAAAATGAGGTAAATACACATGTTTTCACTTTCACATTTAAGTATTGTTAATAGAATAGGAGGTTTGAAACTAAGAAAAAAGTGTAGATCATATCTTACAGTCAGCTGGTACTGTAGCTGTTTGATTTGCTGCTGCATGGTCTCCAGCTGCAGGTTGATCTGCTGCTGCCTCTTGGCCGGAGAGCCGGCGCTGTAGGAGAGCTGTGATAGGCTGTTCAGGGCGTCCTTCAGCTTCCCCACCTCCCGGGACAGGTCATCTATCTGAGAGGGGGAGAAATGACAGGTTAGTTTTTCTGGAATCTTTATAAAACTGTCTCAATTCATTACTTATGCCTCCTTATTACATGGTTTAGTTGAATACTCGATTCTGATTGGTCAATTCAGAACATGTGACACGTTGTTAATCCAGAACAGACAGACCGCTGTTAAGGACGCTCACATCTGCACAAAGAAGTCCAAAAAGCAAACTGCGTGCAGTTTGCTTTTCAAACTGGGACAAGAAGACAGCGGAGAAGTAACGGGGCAGAAACCCTCCTTTTTACACAGCGGTCCAGACATCGACATCCAAACGGCAAAACATATTCAGTTGGCAGTTACTTTGGCATTAGGTCAGGGATATCTAGATACTTTCCAAGGTTTGACATAATGAATTGTGCTACTTTTAAAGCAAGCAACGATGTTTTCAAATCTGTAATCAAAAAGGTCTGCAAAAACGCTATCGAAGCACTTCCTGCCGTTGCTATGTAGTTCAAACAGTAACAACAGACTATTTTTCTTAGCAGATGCATGTCATTTTAAATCAATAAAAAACAGTTCCATTAATATTGGGAGTCATATTGTTACTTTGTTGAGAATGTGGCCATGTAATAAGCGGGATAGTGTGCAGCGAGGCGGTCATTATGGATAAGAGAACACCCTTCATGCAGATCTGCCTGTCGGGTGTTCTTTTACCCATACTGTAATGGCCGCCTCGCTTCACCTTATCCCTTACATGTGAGCTACATAAGCTGAGGCCAGAGAGGGAATATTTTTGTACGAGTCTTGAGAGATAATGAGACATTGTTTTATAGAAAATTACTGGCTATTACATATTTTTAAAGAGATATTGTTAAAACAAATAAAAATGTTTTAAAACACAACAAAGCCCTGATTAGACAGTCTCAAGCTAAAGTGGACTCATACCATAAAACACGAGCAGTTGCAGAATCACATTTCTAAAGAAGTGTTGGTCATACAGAGTACTGCTCGAGGAGATGGGGTACTCCCATATTGTCTACAGGATTATTCCTCACCCTCTTGTTCTTCTCTCTCTCTGAGGCCACGTGGTTCTCCACCAGCTGTTTGAGCTGACACACTGCATCCTGGGCCTCAGCCAGCCTGCTGGTCAGCACCTGGTTCTCCTTCTCCCTGGACATCAGCAGCTCCTGCAGGGCCTCCAGCTCTGCTCGGTTGTCCCGGGCCTGATGGACACATCGAGTTAGGTCAGGCCATACATAGAATGAAGACAATAAACAGTCAACATCAAAAGTTGTTTTGTATCTGATGCCTTTCTTCTCACCATCTGCCATGCATCAGTCGCCTCCAGAGCCATCTCGTCCTGCTTCCTGAGGGCCCCCTGGAGGAGCTGCGTCAGGTGCTTCACCTCGCCCTCCAGCTGCTCTCGCCTGCTCTCCTGCTCCATGCGGGAGGCTGAATCCTCTTGGGTGCCATCTTTGGCTGCCGACAGCCTTTTTATTGAAAGACGCACAAGAACCATGTTGTGAGAACTTCCACTGCAAGAACACTTTAAAGCTGTCTAATTAGTTTGCTCAGTGACCGTTAGACTTCTTGCAGGCTCAACGTGATCAGCTTATCACTTCAATATAAGAAATATGAAATGTAAATACTCTAGTAAAAGTCTAAAACATTTTTTTAGAAAAGCATCTTGGCAAATGTACATGTTTTACATTCCTGCACTGCATTTGTAATTGCGTTAATACCATTTCATGAGCCCCAACTCTACCTCAGCATCCAGCTGAAGTCACTACTAACAGCAGGATAAGACATATCTGTCACTTACTTGTGACATCATACTTTTCCTCACCTTTTCTGAAGATCCTCCACCTGCAGGATTTTCTGTTGCAGCTGCTCCTTCAGGGCCTCTGACTGGCTTTCCAACTCTTTGATGGCGTTTCCCAGAGATGACATCACCTGTGTGTGGTCAGCGAGGTCCACAGAGCTCTGAGCCTGAGCCTCGGCCTCCTGCCTCAGCAGAGAAATCTCTTCTCCAGCAGTTAAGTGCTTCTTCTCCGTCTCAGCTAGCAGCGTCTGTAGCTCCTCCACCTTGCTGATCAGCACCGTGACCTGCTGCTGTTCTGAGGAGGGGGATGAGGGGGCGCTGCCCTCAGACAGCTGTTTCTGAGCAGCACTCAGCTGGCTCTTGGTGTCGCTGTAGGAGTGTGAGAGCTCCAGCAGGCGGCGCTGCAACCCGGCATTCACCTCGCTCAGCTCAGCCTTCATCTCTTCAAAGTCTTTAGCTGCAGCTTCAACTGGCACCGTGCCCCTCAGAGCCTCCTACAGCCACAAAGGAGACGGGGTCAATTCAAGAGGAAAAGCTGTCAATTCATCCAAGAAGTAACGGACGTAACATAAGTGGGATAGAAGTCAAAGTCGAAGCCATTTCACACATTTAGTTTAGTTTTCAATGCAGCAGAAACACAACAAATGTCATTTTGCACATATTCTTCCTGCAAAAACCTGGCGCCTACATTACCCAGATTGCAACTCAACCACTGAGAGTTTAATCAGAGAGTCAGCTGTGTAATGCTAGGGCTTATGTAGCCTCAGCCAGCTCTTGTTTCTTTCTAATGTCTCACCTCCAGATTTGATTCATTTTAAAATTGGTCATTTTCTGCTACAACCGGCTAAGTGCCAACTCAACTCAACAGATTGAGCAGCCACAACACACTGGATGCTACTTCTTTGCAGTGGAACATCCCGAGACCTGTAACCTGACTTTGATGTGTGAAATTGCTGGGATTCCCCTTTCAGTCATACTAATGTTTAGAGAGGAAAAGAGGCCCATATTCACCTGAAGGATCCTTATCTCCTCTTGTGCCTCCTTGTGCAGCTCCTCAATCCGTACAGTCCTCTCCCCCACTTCCTTCACACTCCTCAGCGCCTCCTCCAGCTGTTTGCTTCGTTGAGCTGCCAATTCCAGCTCGGATCCTGATTGGACGAGCAGGGCCCTCAGCTGCTGTACTTCCTGTTCTAGTGTGGACGATGTGCGTCTCTGGACCTCCTGTTGATCCGTCTCACCTCCCATGTGCTCCCTCAGCTCCTCCACCTCCTCCACAGCCTGGTGGTATCTCTCCTGAGTGTCTGTCAGCTTCGCCTGAAGCTCCGCCAGACTCTCCATCAACTCTTCTTCTCTTCCTTTCTCCCTGCGGGTTTCATCCTCCTCTCCTTCTCGCTCAGGTTTCAGCTGGGTATGAAGCAAGCGGTTTTCCTTCCTAGTTTCTAGCAGTTTTACTTGAACGCTTTCTAGCGCCAGCCTCAACAGCTGGATCTCTTCTTTGCTCCCTCCTCCATTCTCCTCTTCTTCCCTTTCCACATGTGGCGGTGACTCAAACTCATCCTGGGTGGAGTGGAAGGAGGAGTTGGAGGTCATGCTGTTTGGACGACTGGTGTCCTCGCTTCCTTGGAGGGATGGATGTTTCTGTGAGGTGAGGAATTTAAAGAATTAGAAACTAGGGGTCGACCGATAATCGGCCAGTCCGATTATCGGGGCCGATATTCCGCATTTGACCGATTATCGGTATCGGCCTTTGTTTTATGAAATTGCCGAAAAAAACTTTGGCTCTGATGCGGCCCTTTCTCTGGCTGCAGGCTGCAGTCACCACTCTCTGTACACGAGCAATGTCCCGCCCACAGCGCTATCTGATAGGCTATTACTGAAGAGTCTATCAACACTGAAGATTTTCCGGGCGGGAGCCAGCCAGAGAGGCGGGACCTCCTCAGATTACAGGCAGGTGCGAAGAACGCAGACACAGACAGAGGCATGCAGCAGAGCTGAGCGGCAGAGCCAAACATGTGTTTCGAAGGTAAATTAGTTGAAAGCCGAAGTTCAATAAACATCCCAATCCCTATGCTGAAGTTGCAAAAACACCACGATCTTATGATCCAATTCTATCAGTTTCCCAGTTACACAGGGACGC